TTCACCCACAAGAACATTGCGAGCTGCCAGATCCTAAGTTAAGACAAACATAGTCACAACTTTTTAATATTCAATCAATTTTTAGCTATAACAGCAAAATTCAAAACATATAAATGCAGAATAACCCCGCATGCGTTTGGATCTTGAAGAATAACGCCCTTAAATTCATCACTTTTTTTCGAAGGTTATCTCATTGAAACTGAAGATATTCAACGATCCTGGGAAGGACGCTGATCTCACACTTCTGCGGCGCGCGTTTCCTCCTACAGCTGATGTCATATGAGAATTAAATATTTGGTTGGTTCTCCTCTTTGATACGATAGTGTCAGTCACCGGGTTTTATGTTTTTCCTCCCTCTAAATAAATAAACAAACTGATTCCAAACTCCAAACCTAACTGGAAACAGTGGACAAACAACCACGTATTGTTTTGTGCCAAAGCTAAGATAAACAAGTGTAAAGGTAAATTTTAACTATATTAATGATGAAAATAAAATATGAAGATAATATATACCCTATGAATAAAATTTAATTCTGACAGGTACTTCATTCCGTGAGCCACACCTCTGGCCATTCCAACCAACTGAAGGCTCGTCAGCTGACCATTTCGGTCCTATGAGGAAATCAGAAGACCCGTTAATCGCTTAACCCTCCAAGTCTTTCGATGACTGGGATCTAATTTCTCAGCTTCTCTGCAGAATCAAACATTCATGTAATGATAATAACGAACACATCAAAAACTAAAGAATTTCCTGATTGTTAAACAAAATTTCCTTGTCAGTACGTACCGTAGGAAATGTAAAAGGAGCGGTATGAAGAGCATGCATACAGATGTAAGGGTGAAAGGCTTTAGATAAAACGCACGACTCACAATAATAGTAACAACAATTTAATATTTAGATTGCGCAAATCAACATTGGGATATGATCAAATGCGCATTACAATGTTTTTCGGGGGACTTAATGGATTGCTTGCAGCAGTTTACAATTTTTTCTGAAGACAAATTTTAACAGATGCCCCCAATTTCAGTAAACAGGTCAGACCACAACACCGGGGGCTACGTCCCCTGCTCTTTGCGATGCGTATGCGGGTTCTTTAACGTCCCCTACTAGCCAGTACAGAGAAGATTCAGGAGACGGGGCTTGCGGTTTTTCGTTCTTATAAGAGAAGACTAGAATGTCTAACCATTTTCAGATATGGTAGCAAAGGCAGCACATTCTCCTCAGTTATTTGAGTGTTGGTCCGGTCTGAGGCTGAACGCACAACTAAGCAGATTAGCAGTAGGGTATTATTTCGGAAGTCTCTTAGTGAATTTTATTTTGCACGGTGTAGTGACAGTAGATTAGCGTTAGCCAAAGTCATATTTTATGCTATTTTCGTTTTTATTCTGCTTATAATTTTATCATTTAAACAGGAACCCTTTGATAACGGTACTCATGTCCTGAGGGACTATCCTGTATAAATATTCACTATTATTATCATTATTGTTACTATTATTACTTTTAAAACACTACAATTACAGTCAAAAGGTGTTTATAGCACAAAATAAGCAGTAATAAGCGTAAACCACCCAAGCAACACTTTTCGTACTATGTTTGGACAATTCTTAAACTCTCGCCAGACGAGGTCAAATACCAACTCCTTGTTGTTATCTATTGCTAACGAAACATTACTAAGCGTACAGAAAACTAGATGTACATAAGAAACCTTTAAAAAGTGATCCAACGATCCACTTTCTAGGAATTCTGTTAGAATCATCATTGGTCTACCTAAAAGCAGAGAAATTAATTCAACTTTAAAGTCTCGAATCGTTTTAAATAGCAGTGTGTCTTTGGTTTTAATGCAGACATCTCATGAAGTAGCTTCATGATTTCATTTTCGGGTTTTTAATATAGGTTACTCAGTTAACGTTCTCCACTCACTTTGTGTCACTACTCCGATGAGGCGGATAACATTTGGATGATCAAACTGGCCCATAAGGGACGCCTCGGAAAGAAAATCTTTTTGATTTTTCTCGCTGGAACCAGGCTGGCATGAAGAGAAAGAAACATCGTTTCAGAAAAATAGTGAATTTATACCATTTTTTAACGATCTTGGACGCGTATGAATCTCGCCTTCTGTAAGGGATGAAGTATCGCAAGATTCAAGAAGTCTAAATCGCGAGTGCAAAGTTACGCGTATCCGCCAAAAAAAAAAATTGCTCAGTTAGTCCGACTGAATTATATAAGTTAAACTGAATGATATAAATCTTATCGAAGCAACACATGACGGAACTGACCCTCAAGACTTTGACAGCAACCACCTCTTTGCCTTCGCGAGATTTTAATATCCCTTTGTAGACATCAGCAAACTCCCCTAAAGAACAAAACAATAATTGAAAGCGAATGCATATGTGACAAATATATTACTACAAGATTCTCGGCACTTCTGAGGTCATGAGAAAGAACAAAGAAAGATTTTTTTTTCTAAATATAAACCCGTTGTTAATGATTTGAAATTGCGCTAATTGCTCGCGCGTGCTTCGAATTACATTAACCATTGAATTACAATTAGATCTGTGACGTAAAAAGTCAATAAACACACTTTGCTATGCCTGAAGAGCCGCAACATCGGTGAAACGCGTAGCGCAAAAGCAAAGAGAAAGAAAAAGAAAAATAGGACTTTGGTTTTTCATTTATTTTAGTATATATATCGATATATATATATAACTAAAATATATCTATATATATTAGCTACGCAAACGCTAGAGATGAGTACTTGTAAGTATCAACATATCTACCTGTTCCAATAACTCCTTCGAGTTTAATATCTCTTCTTTTTCGTTCAGTCGCGAATGATGTCAGAAGTTCTTGCAAGTCGATGTAGTCGTTAGGGTCAATATAGGTTCGCTGGTCTCGAGGATTCGTGGTCTGAAGTTCACTTCCTAATGATGGAAAGTTTTAGCATCTCAATTACTTTATTTGATTTAAAAAGGCAGTCGTATCTGCGCATAAATGACAGACACTGCATGTAATTTATCATAGAAGAAGTTAAGATGTGGCAAATAAATCAGTGCTTCACTTTTCCGTTATTCACTTTTCCGTTCTTACCGCATTTTGACGTCACCTGTGAACTATTACTATACAGACATATGGCACCATGGAATCTATTTGTTCAGCGGGTAACGTAGCTAAACAGATTACAGCCTTCGCGTTAGAACGCTAGTAGATTTATACTTATACTAATGACTCTTACATGTACCTTTCTGAAGGGCTTCCATATAGGCTTGCTGTACACTCTTTTTACTTCTCCTATTTAAGAACAGATTGACGTATCACATCATACTTCAGATAGACGGTGCTTTACTTGACCAAATTCAGACCTGATCTCGAGGTGAATTAAAAAACACCTTTTTGCAAGACCATAGTCAATACTAACTACTAACTATGGCAAGACCCACCTTCTACGAGATACAACACAGACAATGATAACCACTATCAGAATGACTAGCAGCAGTGCTCCTGCTCCAGCTATGTAAGCAATAAGCTGCAATTTCTTCGAGTCATCTGTAACCAATCAATCACAGAACCAATTAGTCGCTCAATCATTGGGTAAAATGGTCAATCAAGCATTTACTAGAGAACTTTCACTGACGAACATTTCTCGATGAAGTTACCACATAATAAGTCAGTCTTCTGAATGTTAACTGTTTATTAGTTGTTTTCTATTTGCCATTCATCCTACCGTAGAGTTCCTTCGACTCGATTCTTTATTTCTTTTGCTTAAGTAATTGTAGTTGACCTTGAGGATGTGTACTGAGGTTCAAAACAGTAGGTAAGCACAAGCTTGATTTTTGCAGGAGGTTTGAAAGATAATTTGGTAATATCAACTAAGTTAAGACTGTAAATTTGCCACCGTAAAGAGTTAAAAAGCTGACGTTTCAAGCGTTAGCCCTTCGTCAGAGCGAATGACGAAGGGCTAACGCTCGAAACGTCAGCTTTTTAACTATTTATGGTGGCTAATTTTCAATTTCAACTTAGTTGATATTGCCACATTACCTTGATACCCCCACCGACGCGGCACCACAGTTTCAGAACGAATGACGAAGGGCTAACGCTCGAAACATCAGCTTTTAAACTCTTTATGGCAGCAAATTTACAATTTCAACTTAGTTGATATTGCCACATTACCTTGTTACCCCCACCGACGCGGCACAACAGCTTCTTTAGAAACTTACCCCCTTTATTTATTTGGTTTGAAAGATAGTCTGCAGGAAGGCTGAACGTTGCGGCTCTAGCGGCGACACCGCGAGAAACTAGCGGGCGTCACCGGCTAGTTCCAAACATGGCCTCGTTGGAATCATTTTGCCCCAACGAAGGATAAAAAAAATTCGAAAATGCGTTTTTTTGTTCATTTTATTTTGTTCTTAAGCAACAGATGCGCATGAAGGAAGATTTCAAGACAACAAGATCTAACTGAGAGTCCAATGATGTCCATGTGATAGGTGTATCGATTAAACAATGCCGGATTTACTAACCGTTCCTCAAAGTAAACGTCTTCACACCAGCTGGTCCCCTTCCATGGTCGTTTATAGCAAATACCTGAGAGTAAAAGGCAAGAAATCATCTCAAAGCTTTCTCAAACGATTTTCCAGACACCATTTAAGACATTTACGCGAAACAGTGAGTGACCTTTGCTGGTGAACTTGGACCAATCAAACCATTCGATCGTATATGGCACAATATCCGATAATACAAATAATTCTATAGAAAAATTCACTGCCTAACGAGTGAATTCCACGTTAAATTTCACGCGAAAAACCGATATCGCACGAATCGCGAAGCGATGAGTGCGATATCGATTTTTCAAGTGAAATTTAACGTGGAATTCACGAGTCAGGTAGTGAATTTTTCTTGAATCGCATAACAGAATAAAAATAAGAAAACAAGAAATTAAAACGGCAATGTTATTGTTTGTTTTTATTCCGTACGCGCGCCCTTAAGAAAGCCATTTTAAAGTCAACTGTCAGANTTTTCGCGGACAATCTGATCGATTTCTCTTACATTGTGTGCTGAGACTGAAACTTTTCACCTCAAGCAAATCTCCGTCGCACGGTCCAAACAAACATAGCGAGCAACTGAGCTACTAGTATATGTCCGTGTTAAAACACACGAAAGGACTCTAAAGCACACTTCACTCTGATTGGGCAGAAAAACACAAAGATTTTCTGGCACCAATCAGATGGCAGAACGACTGCGACCGTTTGGAACTAGTCTTGTAAGACAATGTCCCCAGGGGCTCTTCATGCCCTAACTTGAAATCTTCTCAGCCCCTGGGTCTCCGAGGATGGATTCCACGCTAAATACCCTCTCTTCCGGTTTACGTATTGACCAATCAGAGCGCGTGTTTACTTTAAGCTATGCGATTCTTAACAATATTCATCACTCGATCAGCTATACGGGTTTCGTACAAATAGTACAAACTCTTTGTTCAACTCCTCCTTTTCCCTGGCTCCTATTCTCGACCAATCAGGCTGATTACAATTGTAAGAAAGTCACCCTACCTTAAACTGGTAAGTCTTTCCTGCCTTTAAATCAAACTGCATTTCTGCTGTTTTCGTCTGGTGACTCATGGTGTCTGATGTATCATTCGCATTAATGTACGTCACGTCGTACTCCTTAATAACTCCATTTTTTTTCTTCAGTGTCCAAGATACAACGACAGTTGTTTTCGGTTGTTCAATGGACACTTCCGGTATACCTGGAACTAGTTTGTCAAAAAAGAGATAAGAACGAAATTTTAGTTTTCCAGTAAGGATTTCAAACTTCTGAATCAAAAACCCAAAGACGTCGACACTTTTCCTTCAACTGCAAGTAACGCTAAAACTAAAATTGAGTAAATCAAATAATTCAAATTGAATACGGTTGGAAAATGAATAAGTCTTAGAACTGTAAAGAAAAATAACACAAGTAGCATAGCATTGAAAACAATATGAAGATGTTGAGAGAACTTTCTTTATCAAACAGCTAACAGTTTCACCACATTTTGCTGCGATGAAAGCAATTCGTCACAACATCAAAACATTGATCCGTCAAGGCTAAGGTACATAGATTCTTTGTGCAAGCATTCACGAAGTTTCAAGCTTAATTTCTAGTGATATTTATTTCATAAAATACCTGATCCATTAGTCCTTACGGTAATTTTCTCAAAGAATCCTTCCTTTCCATCTTTACTTTTAGCAGCCTCGCTCACTCTATTCCTGGCGTAGATTTTAAAAGTGTAGTTTATAAATGAAGAGAGGTTACCCACGATGAGTTGAGATGTGCTCAGTTTCTCCTTAGATGGTATGAAAATGACGTCACTCCCACAAGCTTTATCCACACAATCTTTGTCGTCATCGCTGTCACACGGCTTAAGGCAGTCGACATCATACCACACCTGGGTCTGATCACCAGTTACATCAGGGGGTTGCCATTGTAACCCCAGTGCACTTTGGTTAACGAAAGTTGTGAGGGCATTTCTTGGGGCTGATGGTAACACTAAAAAACACACACCCTTAGTTTGGGATGGTTTCGAAAACAAAAGAATCTGCCCGGGGTCCCTCGAACAAGTGTAACAATCTCTTTTTTAGGGAATTAATTTGACTCCGACTGACTTGAATTGTGCCCATCAATGATTAGGACCGTGGTGCTTTTCTGTTTACACCTAATCTCGTATTATATGTTCCGACCTCTCCCCAAGGCAAACCGTGTAAGCCCGTTTTTCGTTTACGACAAGGCGTTTTGCGGAATGATCAGTATGCAACAAGTAGTTATCCCCATTATAGTAACACTTTTCATTTTAAGTGATATTCGCGTTTTAGGTGGCTCATACAGCGGACATGATATCGGTTTAAAACATACATTGTATGTGCAGGGGATAATTAACACATCGACAGTGGTTTAGCGCGGTCCGCACTCTTACCGACTGCGATATTGGTCATCACAATGGTCAAAACAAGTTTTTTACCACAATATCGACGTCATATCAAACGATTCTTTCAGTGCGTGACCACTGCGTGATATGTTGACTCAAGCAGCGCTGTCTGTTCTCTTATGGAAAAACGCAAATTGGGCAATCAGATTGTGAAATTACTGTCAATTGTTGTGAAAAAACCCTTGGACGTCTAAAACTAGGAGTATCAAACAAAATCTTGAGGTCATAAATCGAAAGCCATCCGTACTGGTGCTACTTTTGAATGAAGTGATATTGCCTAAAAGCTTTACGTGAAAAGGGGAATTAGGGAGCTTTAGCAACGACGACGGCGACGGCAACGAGAACGGCAGAAAATAATAGGCGTAATGAGCAAAAACAATCGCCCTGCACGCGCGTTTAACATTTTGGTACATTTCTTTGCCGTTCTCGGCAAAACAACAACGTGAAATAACCAAAGTTTAGGTTTTCTCGAGAACGTGAGCGCATAACAGTTAATATTTCTTTCTTTTTCCTTACTTTAACGCCCTTCGTAGTGATATAGTCCCTGAATAGTTCGCCAGCATTTTCCAAGTGAAACACATCGAAATAATCTCGAAAGACTTACAAAAACGAAAAGTTATATTTCGACACGAAGTTTTCGTTGCCGTCGCCGTCGTCGTTGCTAAAGCTCCCTAATATCTCTCGAAAACGCCTGAGTGCGCGAATGATTATGTTAAGGTATATCTAAGTATATCGGGTATTCGAGTTATCAATGGCTATTGTCAAGTTTGTCTTCAATTTTGAAATAACATGACTTATTTAAACATTTTTGGCGGTCTGGGTTAATTGAAGGAGTACAGCGTAAATGTTAAATAGTAATTCTACATTATTTGAAAGCGATAAACCTTATGTAGCATCTTCCTCCGTACCTGTGCAGTTAAGACCACTCTCATCATTGTATTTCCTTGGCATACAATCTAATGAAGTAAATACCAAATAACCAATTAATGTATGAATAAATAAAATAATTACTTAACAAACAATGGACGGAACATGTAACAATTTGACTTCAAAATTAGGTCAATTTAACAATCTTTGTCAGTTTTCTTTAAGGGTCTTAACGTAATTCGGAGAGATTTGGGAGTGAATAATGGTTTCTGATAGTAACGTTCAGGACTACTGAATGTCAAGGTACCATGATGCCCGAGACAAAGGAGATTTTAAAAAAAGAATTGAAATCGATCCTACTTTTTCTTCTTGATAGACTATTTACAGTTCCCGGAAAACGTATTATGTGGTTTCCGTTTGTTTTATAGAGTTCATTTTTATTGCGTGTAGCATCCACTCTCATTGGCACAATGTGTTTGGACCAGTTACTCTTTGAATAGGTGATCACTTTCTTTTTGGAGATCTTATGTTTTTTCGACTAAAGTGTTTAACTAGATTTTGAGCCGGACATGTAAACTGCTTGATGAGAGAGGAACCCGAATAAACTTTCGCACTCACAGAATGAGACCGAATGATCTAATTTTTTTTTATAGACACTCGTCGTTCGCTATCTACCGCGGAAGAGATAGCGAATAGCGTGGTCAATCAGCTTGCAGCCTGCATCCGAAACGTTTGATAAATACGCGTGTATTTCGTACCCGGTCGCTGAATAAGGTAGGACTCTACCTATGTGTAGCCGCGATAGGTCAACTAATGAAAAGTAACATACACAATCAGGATAAGAAGAATATCAGGGTCAAGTGTATCCCTAAGTTGAAAATATATTGAAGAAACTAATATTTAGAATATTGAATTCATGATATCAAATTTCGAAATCTTCAATTCTCCATGACTAATGAGCGGTAAGTTAAGCGTCAAAATTTTCAAACAGCCTTGCGTACTAAATTTTCCTGAAGTTGATGTCACTTCCTCCTGGAAAATATTCAAACGTAATGAAAATTCTTTCTTTCGGAAAAAACATCAAATGGAGTCTCTTAAAGTAAATAACATTAAGGTAATTCCCTTGAAATTTTTGAACTATCAAACTTTTTTGAAACTTGGTATAGTTTACATTCATGATATAAATATTTAAACAAATGCAATAAAAATGAGGTCGCCGTGCTTGTTTACGCTCTTAAAATGTGATACTTTTACTAGTTGCGCGTCAAAAATTCGAATCACCTTCATACAGAATTTAGCCTCGGTAACTTGAAAGACACAAAATTTTCTCTTGAAACTAAAGCTTCTTTTGTTAAAATAAACAGTATCGCTTCATTTTAGTGTTCTTGATTGCCTGGTAGTGGGGATTTTGCACTTTTTCGGACAGTTCCGCGGTTAGCTTGAAGTCCTCGCCTCGCCCAAAATACATCAAGTACGGAACTATTTTCCAAAGAAAAAATCGTTCTATTGTCAAACTTTTTTTCTTCTTCAAATATGTTCTTTATTAGACTGTTCTTAGTAAATATCTGAAAAAAAGATCGGGTGTCACCATGCTTGTTTCCTCACAAACTTCCGTGAAAGGTGGACATGGTTTTGAGATCGCAGTCAGGATGGAGAATTTGCGTGGTGGAGACTAGGACTCCCGAGAGTAGTCCAGGAGGCTGTCAGTCGATTTGCGGCATTCTTATTACGAATAAAAGCTTTCCCTCTGCAAAAGTGGCCCTTGTCTGTTCTTTTTAAACTAACGGGGAGAACCGCCGCCATCTTGGATGTCGCAATGTTATGCACAAAAAAGGTTGCGCCCACCTTAAGAATTTGAATTTGACTAAAGCAACGTCCAAAAGATTCATGTTTCAAATGATCATCAACTATTTAGAATAATAATACCGTATGCCGGTACACTTAACCTGGTCCAACTGGCACTGATTCAACATCTCTTTTTATCTTAATCTTACTGGTCAGGTGACGTACCTTCGCATCCTCCTCCTCTATTCTCCTTGTCTTTTTTGCATATACATCTTCCTTTAAGTGAACTGATGTTCCAATTGCCATCGCTTTGGCAGTCTAAAGTTAGAATACCTTTTTCGAATTTGGCATTTGTAACACAAGTACCTTCAACTACCGCCGAGTTGTTTGACGGAGCCATAGATCGAGGAAGGGACACCAAGCCATCAACAACCATCAGTTCTGGGCAGATGTAGTAACCGACAGTGACAGAATGAATGGTGCTGCATGAACCCTGGTTATGAAAGGCCAGAACGATGTAATTTCCTTTTACATCGACACCAAAAGTTTTTGTTAACTTCTTAAATCCAAGGGTCGACGCGGTTATTTCAGCAACCTTTTCATAAGTGGCATTGTTTTGTAAAGGGTCAGGTACAGTCAAACCTCCGGACTGATGCACGTAGAGGTCGAAATATTCTCTACAGATCTTATCGTTGCCAACGTTTTTACAGTTCCTTGTATTGTACACAAAGGTAATATAAACCTTTTTTACCTCACTTAGGACTGAAATAGGATTGCTTCGTAGCCAGGAATTTGGTTGTTGGCCAATGACATCACAGGCCGTCCACCGTGGGTTCCCACGAAGATCATTTGTCTGTGACCACTGTTCAAAACAATGATGAAATAACAACATTTCAATTCAACGGCTTTTCAGGCTGGACGGTTATTTGTAAGGTGTAGGTAAAGAGTTGCACAAGAAAGGAGATTGCTTTAATATCAAAATACTTATTGAGACTCCTAATAGCGTCAACGTTACTTCATAGCAATAAAACCATACCCCAACAGATCCATTCGCTAGCTTTGAAGATACCCAGTGGTCCCATTTCTTCTCTTCTGTTGGCCATTTTTGAATAACAACTGTAAAGAATATGTTGTAGTTAACAGTAATAAAACGAGCTCCGATGTTAACCATTAACAGAAGGACTTTATTAACAAGCACTGTTCCCATAGTTCTCATAGTCAGGGAATTAGAAGGGTTGTCAGCCTGCGAACCAACTCTTATTGTTTGTGCTGCAAGACGCGCGTTTCTCCGGCCAGCGGGGAAGATTTGAAACTTGTCAAGGAGAGGTTTGCCGGGAGTCTGGCACTAATAATAATGAGTGCTGGACCACTTACAGACCCCTCGCTGGCTCGCCTTGCCTAAGGCCTCCTAATTTCCCATGGGCGAAGCCGAAGCGTTAATAATTAAGGCCTCCTCGCAAGCTAGGTTGATTTAGAAAACATTAAAACAAACACTAATCCTCTCTTTTAGAGATATTTCATTCTTTTGCCACATCAAAGGGGCCACAGTTATAAATGTTTGAAATAAGTTCATATTACGCGTCCTTCATTTATCCTCCATTTGCCCATAATAATACTATCGTGACCTTGTTACTTATTCCTTGCTGTAAGAGGAAAATATAGCCTGCTCTAACCTAAAGGTCATTAAATTAAGAATGGGAATAGATTGCATCAATCTTTTAAGTAATCTAAATGCATCTGTAAGTTTAGGACAATCATCAAAAGCCCCTTTTAAAACGTTAGCCATTGGAAGTTAATACCCTCACAAACACAACAGCAAATCAATCCTTGGTTATTCGAAGGGTGGGTAACTCCATCCACATGATAAATCTCTGTCAGTTAGCAGTAAGTTTTAATTAACCTGTTTTGAAGCGTTATCCACCTGAATAATTGCGCCCAGATTTTCATCTATCACTTTACCTCCCCAAGTGAGACAAACAAGATTAGGGTTAAATCATACCATCATCAGTCGATGAAAAGGCTACAGCATGTAGTAGGATGAAGATAAATCGTATTCGGCAATCCATGTGCGATGCGCAGTGCTGTTCACGAAGAAACAATCAAAATATGCAATTAACTTATGTATTTAAGTCCAATAGAGGGATCGAAACAAAAAAGAGCAACCAATCGCGATAGGGCATTGAAAAGAAAAGAGAGGAAGATCATAGACCACTTTCATAAAGGGCTGCCGGATTAATGTTCTTTTGTTTGAATTTGAATTAGTTCTTCTGGCCTCGCTTGAGATAATGTATTCTTTTGAATTTTGTGGTGGAGAACGAGGCCAGAAGGGCTAATTTAAATTTAAACAAAAGAATATTAATCCGGCAGCCATTTATGAAAGTGGTCTATACCGTTTAGCCTATCCCTGTTACCCAGTTCCCGTTGCTAATTCGTGGCAGGTTACCCCCCCCC